TTCCGGCTCGGAACCAGTTGGCTACAACCTACAATAGAACAAATCAGTTCTAGATGCATGCTTTGGCCAAGTCCATAGCAACCAAATCTCCAAGGGAAATTTCTGATGAGTGGGTGATGTGATGATCATCTTGCTGTGCCGTCGCGGTAACATTGCGGTGAGGCGACGGCCGCAAGTCTATATATGCAGCTCTGGACATTGAATCTTGATTCATGAGATTGCGGCAATTGACTATTCAATTGAGCCTTGTACAGAAGCCATGAGCTGCGCAGGCTGGTATGTGGTTTATCCTTGATATGTACATGGTATGGAGTAAGGTACAAGAACACTGACAGCGAAACACATGACCTGGCTGCAATGTAGCTGTTTCTGCCCAAATACGGAGTATAGATGTTCGATCATTTGGTGGATAAGGTATCTAGGTATAGTATTTGTAATTACAATACAGATAAGGCGGTATCACTTCCATGGGTACCTAGGTACTCATCAAGACGAGGTCATCTGAGCAGGCCACGGCATACAATACTGTTGGAAGTCCGGGGGTGGTTGACCAGGTGGAAAGGATGAGGAGTGAGATGCTGGGATTTTCCAGATTGCTATCTGCCTATAAGCTGTCTGATCCAAGGTATGAGTGTGGCTATGAGGTGAGATGATGAAATTATGCAAAGGCAGAGCCTTTGTGCCTCTCTGTTGTTTCGCCGCCCTATCTGCCGAAACCAGGTCAGTTGCCACCCATTGATGGAACTCACCGTATCTCGACGCAAGAGGAAATGGACGAAGAGCAATGGGATTTATCTCCTTTGCGATGTGATACTTGACCGGGATGTAGGTTGCTATCATCCAAATGACTGCCTTCGATGTGGAATATCGGTAGAATAATAATAGACCCAAGAAAGGCTAATCATATCAGGTTCGGGCTGACCGCTTTATTTGGCTATCGTCGGATGTTGATCGTCTACCGTTTCGATTATTCCTTGCATGGCCGGGTATCTCGCCTGGAAGAACATTTCTTTTCCCAGTTCTTGCTTTGCTTGATGATTGATGGCTCGATAGCCCTTGGCAGCAATGGTAAATGAAATAACCGAATTGTGTTGATTGTGTTGTTATTATTAGATAGCTTGATATCAGGTGAAGATCCTCTGTAATCTAGACTCATTTATGTGTACTTGCTGTAATACGCCATACTGTCTTCTTACATACAATACCTGCCTAGCTTCTTCCCGAGACAGATTTTGCCTCCTCTTTGCCTCTAAATGAGTTGCTTTTTTTCCCGGAGCTGTGCCTAACCTCAGGCTAACCTCCAACACCGCTTTTACTTACCATTACCCGGCCCCCTCTTACCTAGATACCTAGTTACCTACGCTCAGTACTGCTTAGTCTCTCCTCTTCAGTACACCCGACACTCACTCAAAGTCCTCTCTTATTCTCCTTCCTCCTCTTCCCTTCTTCTCTTTCTCCCCCAATTTCCACCTTCCGATATCAAGGCTCTGCCCTTGGTTTTCGTTTTCTTTTTTCCTTCTTGTTTTCAACAGCAGGTACTTCTTTCCTGTCTGTTAATTCCTACGCGTCTCATCTCTGCATTTTCGACGTGTCCCATTATTAAGGTGAGTTGGCCTCCGGGTCTCCTTTTCCCTCTCTTGTCCCCTCCGCCTTTTCTTCGGTCGGGCCTTTACAGTCGGAATCAATTGTCCTCATCGCCACACCCATTCCGTCTGCAACAAAACAACAAGGAGTACATTTTTTCGACATTCTACTCTCACTTCTTTCAAACTCCTGCGTTTATTTGGTGGCCTTTCTTCTCCTATTGAGTCGTTGAGGCGTCTCCTTCCGTCACCAGCTTCCCACCCGCAGCAGCCTCATTGCCATTCACTCACTTTGCCAAGCAACTACGCGCTGGAGGCTGGAGCTTGCACTTTTTTCCCATTCTACCACTCTCAATCTCTTCTCTTGTTCCTCACAGCATTGACTTTTTCCATTGTTTGACCCCATCGGACTCGTCTTCGTTGGATTTGTTCGCAGCATCGTCAACTGTTTTGACCAAGAACTTACATTTCTTCTCTACAGTCTTTGACATCATCTCCAGTCACAGCTTTCAGCTGTGCCTAACAATCGACAGCCAAGATGACGACCATGGTTAGTATTTACATCAATGTATCCTTCGACCCTTGTACTCTGTACTAATATGGTCACAACACAGGATTTGCGAGTCGGTAATAAATACCGCATCGGCCGTAAGATCGGAAGCGGTAGTTTTGGTGACATCTATCTCGGTATGGGCATTGATACTTTTTGAGGGAGTTCGGCTGGTGAGCAACCGTTTACAAAAGGATACAGGTACCAACATCATCTCTGGGGAAGAAATTGCCATCAAGCTCGAGAGTGTCAAGGCCAAGCACCCCCAACTCGAGTATGAAGCTCGAGTTTACAAATCGCTCGCTGGTGGTGTTGGAATCCCATTTGTCCGCTGGTTCGGTACCGAATGTGACTACAACGCCATGGTCATCGACCTCTTGGGTCCCAGTTTGGAGGACCTTTTCAACTTCTGCAACCGCAAGTTCTCCCTGAAGACTGTGCTTCTCCTGGCAGATCAACTCATCTCCCGTATCGAATACATCCACGCCAAGTCCTTCATCCATCGTGATATCAAGCCCGACAACTTCCTGATGGGTATCGGCAAGCGTGGAAATCAAGTCAATGTGATTGATTTCGGTCTTGCCAAGAAGTACCGTGATCCCAAGACGCACTTCCACATCCCGTACCGCGAGAACAAGAACCTCACCGGAACGGCCCGTTATGCTAGTATCAACACTCACCTCGGTGTTGAGCAGTCTCGTCGTGATGATATGGAGTCTCTCGGATACGTCATGCTCTACTTCTGCCGTGGCACTCTCCCTTGGCAGGGATTGAAGGCGGCCACCAAGAAGCAAAAGTACGACCGTATCATGGAAAAGAAGATGACTACTCCTACCGAGGTCCTCTGCCGTGGATTCCCCAACGAGTTCTCCATTTACCTGAACTACACTCGCTCCCTGCGTTTTGATGACAAGCCTGACTACTCCTACCTTCGCAAGATCTTCCGCGACCTGTTCGTCCGCGAGTCCTACCAGTACGATTACGTGTTCGACTGGACCGTCTACAAGTACCAGAAGAACGCTGCCATGATTGCGGACGCCACCAATAACAAGAAGGACAAGGAGGCCGACGGCCGCCAAAATGCAGCTGGAGCTCAGGCCCCCATGGCTACTACTGCTACTGCTGCCAAGCCTGGTGCTATCTCCAGCCAGCGTCGCAAGGTCCTCGATCATAACACGCTCAACAACACCCCTGACACCAACCGTGCTATGGGAGGGAGTGACAGGATGTGAGTATCTGAAACCTAGGTTCCGTGTAGGGAACCCCTTTCCTCTGCGTTTGGTGTTCAAGATCCGCTCTGCGCGTGGAGGTCTTTTTCAGTTTCTAGAATCTGACTAATCTCATAGTCTTCGGCATTAGGCTGCGCTCTGCTTCCAAGGTTGCTGCTTCAGGTGCTTATGGGCCTGCCGGTAGCCGTACGAAGCGGGACGATGGATACGGTGCTCAGTGGTACTAATTGTGCAGCATGGCAGCGTAGCTTGATTTTACTCGTCTTTTGATCGTATTTCAGCTTCCTGCATGCCAACAACTTACACCAACTTCGAAGCCCGGGACCTACTGTCATCACGGTACCTGTCTGCATCGTGCAGCAATCTTCTCGGACTTCTTTTGCCTTGGATCTCCATTCTTTTTTTTCTTTTGTTGTTCCCGTGCACTCTATCAGCCCTTTATCCAGTCCTGATCGTCTTTCGATCTACAACGCTTCGACGGACCGCTCATCGTTCTCTACTTCGGCAAGTTCGCTTATCAGTCTTTCGTGTTTTCACTCGGTGGAGGCTTTTTCTTCAACGCTCGACAACCCCACCATTTTCACGACTTCTGTACTCGATACGCGGACGCTTTTTTGAAGGGAAATCGATAGCAGCCTCGAAATGCTTTTTACTGCGGCTATATTTTACCCGTTCACCCACCTTGGTCCAGTCACTCGAATTCGTATTTGAATCGGGATTTTCAGTCTCAGCAATTTGCCGGGTGGGTCGGGTGATAAGAGATGCATAAACGGGATCATCAGTATTGTGACGAAACAGCTTTATCAGAATGTCGACAAATGTCACTGGGAATCCTCAGATTGATCATCTATTGTCCCTGTTTCAATACTTTTCCAACCCCATCTTGCTCTTGCTCTTCCCATCGTCTTCTTATGTCCTGCATGCTTTCATGTACTTTCCATCGTTTTGCTTGTGAGTTATCGACGTGTCAACAGGGGACGGTGACAGAAGGAACGACCTGCGATGATGTGGTGGAGATGGCAGTTTCTGGGTGTCTACTTTTGAGGCTCATGCTGTTGTCCTTTTCGACAAACTTGTCTCACGACTGTCCGGTTATGAGGATTATGGGACGACTTGCAGTGGGTCAGGCACGAGGAAAATGCGTCTCTGCGTTTGGGTAATTGGCGACGGAAAATGGCTAGGGTCGCTTCCGGGGGGTATCGCGTCGATTTGTTTTCACTTTAACGGCATCTCATGGCTTCGATGTGTTTTTCCACGCTCTCTCGCATTGTGTCGAAGAGTCCAGTTGTGAGGACCTATCGCGAACCAACTCGAAAGCTATCGGCTAGGTTCTCTCATACTGTCTCTTCGGTCACTCAGATAATATTTCAGTCTTTTGTCGTGAATCAATTTCCTTCGTCTTTGCAATATCACTAGGCTGGCACCTTCGTAGTTGTCTATAGCTCCTTTTGTAGCTTCAGGAAGCAAATGCGCAAGTCATAGGTAGATTTGACGCAAAGACTTAAGTCTCTCATGGAGTGGTGACATCGATAAGCTACCTGGAAATCCTTGTCCTCGATTCGATCAGATTATCAGCGGCGATTCCCTTAGTTGCATCGATAATGAAGCTGCCATCATACCCACCCCGCGTCTTCGAGTGTTTTCAATATCTACATCTACATCTTCATCATTATGATACGCAGAATCATGCCATGCTTCTTAAAACCTTTGTGTCATTTATCGGGAGCGGCGAAATTTCGGTTGCTTTGCATCCATGTTATTCTAAGTTGTTCCTTTACTCTTAGTTTCTCGGGTTCTCCGAACAAAAGCAATTCCAAGGCTCAGCCCCATCAAATCTGTCTCCGTACCATCCTGACCGCTGTCTCCCATCGATAAGAGACGAAGTGTCTCAACGATTTTATCAACATTGTATTCTTACCTGCTCTCTTATAGGCTGATCATCCACTGCAAGAAGACGTGCTTTGGTTGAGAGAAGTGCAGAGATATGGACTACTCATTTTATTCCAATCCTCAGTCACAGCAACCATTCCCCATCTACGATCTCCACGGACTACCCACACCCGATCAGAACAACCCAGCGCCTCAGGGGGATGATATCAATGATCCATTCAGTTCTCTAGTTGTTTGCCTACGTTTCCCATTATGCTGAACTGATACTAATCCTGTCCTATCCTAGAATTATCATTCATTCGACCCTTCCTTTCGCATTCAGAACCCCGCCGCCCCTTCGTCCTTTGTCCCTCCACCGCACTCCCCACCTGAATCCTTCTCCAAACACTCTGTTTCGAGCAATGATTTCCCCAATAGCCATGCGGAGCCTGGATCCGTCGAAGGCGGCGATGATCAACTCCAGCATCGGAGCAGCAGCGAGGAAAAGGACAATCTGACTCCAGCACAAAGCAAGCGCAAGGCACAGAACCGAGCTGCGTATGTGATCCATTCGTTCTTGTGAAAGCGTTAGGGCTGCAATACAGGCCCGCGCTGAAAACATGCTGTGGAATAAGTGCGGCTAACGTATCCCCCATCGGTGCATCCAGTCAGCGAGCCTTCCGCGAACGAAAGGAGCGCCATGTCCGCGAACTCGAAGAGAAAGTCAGCACGCTCGAGCAAGAATCCACCACCCTAGCCGCCGATAACGAACGGCTGAAGCGGGAGCTGGCCAAGTACGCAACGGAGAATGAGGTTCTACGGGCTACCACGGGCCGATTGGCGAGTTCGCAAGGCCGTCATCTGGACTCGGAGCCAACCGTCACAGGTCCGATGAAGTACACCCCCACTGACTTTTACACGAATCTTGTGCCGAAGGGTGAGCCGGCGCCTACGCATCGGGTGACGATCTGCGAGAAGACGGGGGAGAGGCTCCTCGATGCCGGAGCGACCTGGGACCTTATCCAGGGGCATGAGCTGTACAAGCAGGGCCTGGTGGATATCGGGGATGTCTCTGATCGGTTGAAGGGGATGGCTCAGTGCAATGGACAGGGTCCGGCGTTCAGGGAAGGCCAGGTGCTCCGGGCCATTGAGGCGAGCGCTGCGGCTGGCCGCGATGAATTGATATGACCGAGGCAGAGGCGAATTTGGACTGAGCTATGATTTGGAAAATATATTTTGGCGCGTTTTCGAAGCTGATTATGGGAGGATACGGCGCTATGTCGGAGGGTGTTATTTGGCGCAGGAATCGTGTCTGGGATTGGTATACGCTTATCAAATGATCTTTCTCATTTATTTCCATCAATGCACGCATGAGTGCCGGGAAAGGGATATGAAGTAATGAATGCCGAGAATGCTAGCGTTTGCGGTTGCACTATCGGACGACTGAATGATTCACAATTTGATATATACATGCTTGTATTCATGAAGCAACACAACTGTGCTCTCCCGGTCACCTATCCTTTGACATGAACTTAAAGTCTCATTCTGTAAATGCAAGCGAGTTGATCAACAACCCCAGTTGAGCCGTGTCATTTTCGAGTTTGTCCCCATATTTTAACGTATGCATCGTATGTGTAAAAAAGAAGGACGATCCGTTATCAGATAACAGCATGATAATAACATGTTGTACTAGAATATAATTCGCGTCATTGTTCTCTCAATCCCAATCATCGTCGAAATCTTCGACATTCGCATTTCTGATGTTTGATGAACGCTCCTCGTCAAACGAGTAAGATCGCTTCTTTAGACGGACATCGCTTTCTTTCAAGGCACCCAGATCCACTAGCATTCGCTCAAGGTCTGCGAGACGACGTCAGCCAACATCTATACAACATTAACAATCAGCAAACGTACCTTCAAGCTTAGTCTTGGGTCCATTGAGCTCCCGTAATGTGACGAGCTGCCTTCTAATCTCTCCGTCCTTGTATACCAGAATCGTGGGCGTATTCCGCTCCGGATACCCTTCAATGCACATATCGCCGCGGATCTCGCAGAATTTAATGTCGCCGTATTTCATAGCTAGTTGACGCCACAGGTCGGACAGAATCCGCGACTCGACGTTCCCGCTGGTGGATGTGAGGTGGACGAGCACGAAGGATTTGCTGGAGGCTTCTGTTACCTCGCGGGCGTAGTCCACTTTTTGTAAGGGGTAAACTTGGTTATAGATGCTGGTTTTTTGGAGGGTAGAGAGTTCTGCGAGCCGCTTTTGGCTGGATTTGGTCAGTACTTGAATGCTTAGAAAACCGCAGCTGGGATACCGGGGTTCTCATGGTTGACGATGTACCGGTATTGTTCGAGGAATTCTTCGTCTTCTTCATCTTCGAGATCGTGCAACTCATCTAGGTCTTTGTCTTCGAGTCTGTTCTCATGTGCTTTTCGTTCGGCCTCCACGAGGGCCTCTTGGATCAATGGTTCAGGGTCCTGGGGCTTTTCGGGGATAACGCCATGCTTGCGGAGAATGTCATTCCTATGGCGGGGTGAGTGATTATCGGGGCTTTGTTGAGGAACTTGCGGAGATTGATTTTGCCTACCACTCGGTGTCCTCGTTGGGGTTTACCTGGACTTCCATGATGAGATGTAAGTTGATCTATCGTGAGAAATAGAAATCGCAAGTTTAGAGAGAATGATAGCTCGCATGCAATTGTTTGTTGAGGCTCCCGAGTACCTGAGATGATGATATGATGCATGCCGCGTGTTTGCTCTGTTTGCAGCATCAGCCACAGTGGCTAGAGCACCCACAGACGCGGAAGGCCACCTGGAGATTGTACAACGGCGTTGGGAGCTGCTTTGGCAACAACCTCTCTCCATTCATGCTCGATTCTCCCCTGGAACAGGGTCAGTAGCCTTGCCTTGAGATTGGACACTGCTCCTACTGGTCTGGCCTTTTATTTTGTCTCTTTTAACCTCACCCCTCGCGGATAATGAGGGCGCGTTAACCGTTTACACCGCCTGCACACCCAATTGCTACTGACTTACCCATAATACTTACCCGCCCGTCCTTAATTCCACTGTTGACTCCGGCGTAACCTTTACCGGTAACCTACACCAGAAGAGGGTATCAGAACAGAGCTCTCTGCTGCTGTTAGATCAGCAGCTTCTTTCACCATGAGTTACGTCAAAAAGGATGAGGACGCTGATCAGGTCATGATCAAGCTCGATCGGACCTCCGTCTTCCAAGATGGTAAGGGGATTATCAGTTCCCCTGAAGGTGCTACCAAACTAGCAGGAAATTAACTAATTATTTTCTTCTCTTTGTCTGTTGATAGCACGTCTCTTCAATTCCTCTCCAATCTCCCCACGAAGATGTCGAACCCTCCTGACCAAGATCGCCGTCCTCATGTTTACGGGGGAGCAATTCCCCACGAACGAGGCGACCACTCTGTTCTTCGGCATCTCGAAACTGTTCCAGAACAAGGATCCTTCCCTGCGACAAATGGTCTATCTTATTCTGAAGGAACTAGCGAACACGGCCGAGGATGTCATCATGTCAACAAGCATTATCATGAAGGATACCGCTGTTGGTAGCGACATCCTCTACCGAGCAAACGCCATTCGGGCTCTGTGCCGCATCATTGATGTGAGCATCCTTCGTTATACTACGTTTGTTAGGCTTAGTAGCTGATGCAATTTCTAAAGGCCACCACCGTGCAAGGTATCGAGCGATTGATTAAAACCGCTATTGTCGACAAGACCCCTTCTGTCTCCTCCGCCGCCCTGGTTTCTTCATACCACCTCCTTCCAATTGCGCGCGATGTCGTCCGTAGATGGCAGAGTGAGACGCAGGAAGCTGCATCCGCATCGAAGTCGTCGACCGGTTTCCTTGGCTTCGGCGGCAGCTCTTCGAGTCACGCTATCTCGCAATCAAACTTTATGACTCAATATCATGCCATTGGTCTCCTGTACCAGATGCGCTCGCATGATAGGATGGCGTTGGTGAAGATGGTTCAGCAGTATGGAGCAGCTGGTGTTGTGAAGAGCCCCGCCGCGCTGGTATTGTTGGTGCGATTAGCAGCGAAGTTGGCGGCGGAGGATCCAGGCCTGAGGAAACCGATGATGCAGATGCTCGATGGCTGGCTCCGGCATAAGCATGAGATGGTCAACTTCGAGGCGGCAAAGGCAATCTGCGATATGCGCGATGTAACCGATGCGGAAGCGTCACAGGCTGTTCATGTTCTCCAGTTGTTCCTCTCTTCTCCCCGCGCCATCACCAAGTTTGCTGCCATTCGTATCCTCCACAACTTTGCCAGCTTCAAGCCTCATGTTGTCAATGTGTGCAACCCTGACATTGAATCACTTATCTCCAACTCCAACCGTTCCATCGCCACTTTCGCCATCACGACACTGCTCAAGACTGGCAACGAGGCCAGTGTTGACCGCTTGATGAAGCAGATCTCTGGTTTTATGGCTGATATCACGGATGAGTTCAAGATCACTATTGTCGAGGCTATTCGGACTCTCTGCTTGAAGTTCCCCAGCAAGCAGGCCGGTATGCTGGCGTTCCTCAGCGGCATTCTCAGGGACGAGGGTGGATATGAATTCAAACGGAGTGTCGTTGAAAGCATGTTCGACCTGATTAAATTCGTTCCTGAGAGCAAAGAAGACGGTGCGAACCCCCAACCCTACTATTTCCCCTCCTTTTTACCCTGCTTGTTTGGCAACCCAACTAACAATAACTAGCCCTTGCCCACCTCTGCGAGTTCATTGAGGACTGTGAATTCACCAAGTTGTCGGTCCGAATTCTACACCTTCTCGGTGTGGAAGGGCCCAAGACATCTCATCCCACTAAGTACATTCGCTACATCTACAATAGAGTCGTCCTGGAAAATGCTATCGTACGAGCTGCCGCTGTAACGGCCCTGGCCAAGTTTGGCGTCGGACAGAAGGACCCTGAAGTGAAATCCAGTGTCTCCGTCCTCCTTACACGCTGCCTTGATGATACGGATGATGAGGTACGAGACCGAGCTGCCCTCAATCTTCGTCTTATGGCGGAAGAGGACGAGATGGCCGGACGGTTCATTAAGAACGGTATGTATAAGTCGTCTATTTCAATCTGATGTTTTCGAAAAACTTACATAACTAGATTCTATGTTTTCACTTTCTACGTTCGAACACCAGCTTGTCATGTACGTGACATCGACAGACAAGGAGACATTTGCCGCGGCTTTCGACGTTTCCACGGTTCCTGTTGTCACACAAGAACAAGCATTGGCCGAAGAGAGGACCAAGAAGCTCACAACTGCAACACCCACCCTCAAGGCTCCTTCTGCAGGCCCTCCCAAAGGCAAGGCCAACGGCGTCGCCGAGGCGGCAACCGCAGCGGCAACTCAGAAATATGCCGAGCAACTCATGCAGATTCCCGAGCTCAAGGCATACGGAACTTTGCTGAAGTCCTCTGTGCCTGTTGAGCTTACTGAGAGCGAGACCGAATACGTGGTGACAGCCGTCAAGCATGTTTTCAAGGAGCACATTGTGGTGCAATACGACATCAAGAACACTCTGCCCGATACGGTACTTGAGGATGTAACGGTAGTCGCCACTCCTTCCGAGGAAGAGGTCCTGGAAGAAGAGTTCATCGTTCCCGCTCCCAAGCTGGCTACAAATGAGCCTGGTATCGTATACGTCACCTTCAAGAAACTCGCCGGCGAACACAGCTTCCCTGTCACATCATTTACAAATATCTTGAAATTTACCAGCAAAGAGGTCGACCCTACCTCCGGAGAGCCGGAGGATAGCGGATATGAGGACGAGTATCAAGTCGAGGACTTGGAGCTTACTGGCGGCGACTATGTCATTCCCACGTTTGCTGGCAGCTTTGACCACGTCTGGGAGCAGACCGGCGCGAACGGGGAGGAAGTCAGCGAGACTCTGCAACTCAGTAACACGAAGAGCATTTCAGGTGCGTCTCGAATTCGATGTTTCAACGTGAATCCAATTCAATATACTGACTTGACTGCAGATGCCACCGAGCAATTGATCACTGCCCTTTCTCTCCAGCCTCTAGAAGGCTCAGATGTGGCTCTTAGCAACAGCACACATACGCTCAAGCTCTTCGGAAAGACTGTGTCAGGTGGTAGGGTTGCAGCTTTGATCAAGATGGCTTTCTCGAGCAAGACGGGTGTCACTACCAAGATCACCATCCGAGCGGAGGAGGAAGGTGTCGCGCCTGCTGTCATGGCAGCTCTTGCTTAAGGTTGTATATTGTAATGGGTGCACGTTTCAGCAGGCGTGCACTAACGACGGATTCTGCATTTTCATGAGACCAGAACCATTTCCTGCGTTTTGTTCCTCTTTCCTTCAATTGCCAGTTTCTACCTATAATTGAGGTGTCAAGCTAGATGCGATGATTATTTTGTGTAGTTGCCAAAACCCGTTATCCGCTTGGTTTCTACATCGTCTTTGATACTTCTATTCCATACCTATTCCCTGTTTTCTTCACCTTCTGGATGTTCCGTACACTTGGTTCTTTCACCTTCTCATAGCATTACCGTCCCAGGAGGGCAGTATTCTGACTTGAGGATCCTTAGTTAGACCTTGGGTGTACTTAGTCGTCGAAGAAGCAAATTGATCAAAAATGTCTCAAATCCCTGTTTTTCCCCGTTGACAAATTCTGTACAGTGCTACTCTGTAGTCGTGAAAGACATTGTTATCGTTCCCTCTTGATACCATGCCTTCTGTCTGAATGAAGCCATTCCACGAAAATGCAAGGTCCCAAAGCTGTCCATGAAAATGCTCGCACGATAAGACTGGCAGAGCTATAGCTTGATCTCTTTCTAACCTTGTTTCTGATTAAACATCTTTGTTGTTCAAGAGTTGACTGTGTCAGCCCTTTGAGCTTTTGTGTGAGTTTGCTGCTCGTCGGGAAAAGGATATATGTCTACACAGCGAGCGAGGAATTCCGCGTCAAGAGCCCTGCATCCGTACTCATGAAAGGAAATCTTCTCTGAATGAGCTTCAGGAGATTGATGATTCAAGCGTCAGAATTCCTTAGAGTAAATTCTGGGCTTGTCAGCCGATACATGATAAGCGGGTCATGCATTTGGCAATACATTATTATTGATATATTCATTCTAGCTGTGAAGCAACTGTGTCTAGAGTACATGACGTGGATAAAATGTAAAGAGATATGCTGTAAGTTCACACTGGCGAAAGTCACTTTTGTTATCATGGAGGTAACTGTGTACCAGGGTCAAAAGTCATTATCATGGTCGTCTGCGGCGTGTAGATGTAATCTCATAGAATCCGAGCCATGCCAGTCACATGTAATATACTCCGACTTCAGATTCGTCCACCGCGGTCGGCGCACCTTGTTCAGCTCTCTGCTTAGCATGTTTATGAAGGACATCGTCAACTTCTTCGTCTTCGACAATGCGCTGGTCGGTGCAGAATATATCCGAAAACCCGACGGAACAGACGTTACTCAGGCCTTTGTCCAGCGCCATGATTAAGGATGCCGTTTCAAAATGGAGTACTGGGTCCAAGTGAGGCATGTCGAACTCGAGCACTTCAAGAGCCAAAGGAGGCGACAGGAAGTATAGAACATCGAAGAATGTCTCATCTACCATATCGCCGGGGACACTTAGATATGTCAGGTTGGGTAGGAATGCTGTCACAGCGTTGATAGACCCAGGCTCAAGCCCACGATTTGCATAGGATATTGTAAGGTCCTTTAGAGTCTCGCTCAGCTGCGGACTACTGAGCAAGCAGGCAATGCTCGTCACCGACAAATCCGTGCAATTCTTCAAAGTCAAGCTGGTGAGAGCAGGCGGCCAGGAAAATGAGGGGATCGTGGTGGCTGAGAAGTGACCGCTCAGTTGCAGTTTATGAAGGAGAGGAGGCCATTCTGTTCGTGATGAGTCCGGGACATCGAGATTGGTTGAACGGGGAAGTCGAAGGGTACGTAGTCGCGGCAGACGACTTAACGCTTTCTTGAGATTGGCGAAGGGAATCGGATCCGCAACCAGAGAAAGATCAAGATAACGGAGATTCGTGCATTTTGACAGAGCAGGAAGGCTGTTGACACTGTAAGTCATGTTAGCGGCGAACCTCGATTGATGGAAGCTCGAAAGCATTATAATGAGAGGAAAAAAGACAAGTCCAAACGAGGGATTCAGTACTTACGCAAATGACACTCTTGGAGCCAGGAAAACTTCCAGGTTCTCCTTGACTCGACCAAGCAGTCTAGCAGTCACGCTGTTGGAGCTATGGTGCACCAGGCGACTGAGATCCAGGCGGCGGACAAAACTTCCCAGATTCAATTTATTCCTCCGTCCACCGACTCCTGAGCAAGTTGATACAAACTGCTGGAAAGAGTTTCCGATATGTAGCCGGGGCTTTTCATACAGAAAGGAGACGGCTGCGGAATACCACTGATGCGATACTAAGCAGCATGCGTACAGCGCCTCTTGACGGTGGGCTTCATCTGCAGCCACAAAGCGGACGATTTGCACAACTATTTCAGTAGGTAGATAAATTTGGCGAGTAGAGTGCATCAGGGGCGTATAAAATGCCGAATGCCATGATACTGGCGCAGAGTAGAGAGGCACTTAAAACGAAAAGCCGTGTAGAGAGGTAGAGGGGCCGTTGATGTTGGCCCGATAAGAGATTAAATAACCGGGGAATGATCTCATTGTGTCGGTCCGCTGCCGCTGTCCGCTGGTGACTCCGCTTTATCTCCCCGACTCCGACCCGAGTCAATTCACTTTCTACACTCAATTGCACCGTTGTCGGTTTATATTTATGTTAGTATATCACTGACACACATCTTTGATTAGCTACGTTCGCTTAGAATGAGACCGCAACCTCTTTGGCGCTCTCTTGGACGATTGCAGAGCGCCTACTCATACTCTTGTCGCAGAGCCATCCACACTGCCACTTCCACATCTCAGCTGCCAGACTTTGCATTTGCATTTGAGTAAGTCCCAGACCATCGCAGTTTGTAAATACCCTCGCTAACCACATTGTGACGTAGCATCGATGGTGTTCTCCTCCGGTCCTCCAAGCCCATCCCCGGTGCGGCCGAGTCGCTAGCATTGCTTAAGGGCCAAGGAATTCCATTCATTCTTTTGACAAACGGCGGGGGGAAACATGAGACAGAGCGAGTGGCGGAGATCAGTGAGAAGCTCAAGGTACCCTTGGACGCCTCGGTCATCATCCAAAGCCATTCTCCTTTTGCAGAGCTTGTGAAGGGGCCTGATGAACACAGCTCCTTGGAGAATAAACGCGTGCTGGTTGTCGGAGGTGACGGCGATGGCTGTCGTCGGGTTGCGGAGCAGTATGGCTTCAAGAATGTGCTGACCCCTGGCGATATTTTCATGGCCAATCCTTCCATTTGGCCGTTCTCCACAGTTTTCAAAGACTACTATGAGAAATTTGCGAGGCCGATACCGAACCCGCTGGACCCTCGGGACCCAACCAAGGGATTGAAGATTGATGCCATCTTCGTGTTCAATGACCCCCGCGACTGGGGGTTGGACGCTCATGTGATCATCGACCTTCTACTATCATCGCAGGGTGTTTTGGGCACAATATCGGACAAGAATGGGCGAACGGATCTCCCAAACAGGGGATTCTTGCAAGACGGCCAGCCACATCTGTACTTTTCAAATCCCGATTTGTGGTGGGCAGCGGCTTACCATTTGCCGCGTCTGGGCCAAGGAGGTTTTCGCGAGGCCTTGGAAGGCACCTGGGCCGCGATCACCGGAGGGCCAAGCAAAGGCGTTGAGCTGAAAAAGACAATCATCGGGAAGCCATACCAAGGAACGTATGAGTTCGCGGAGCGACAACTGATGCGCAATCGCACAAGGATCTTTGGGACGGATAGTACTAAACCATTACGGAACGTTTATATGGTTGGGGACAACCCAGAGTCCGATATCCGAGGCGCAAACAGCTACCGCAGCGGAAATGGCAGCAACTGGCATTCAATTCTTGTGCGCACTGGTGTCTACAGAGGAGGAGAACCCGCTTGGACTCCAGAAGTCATCGTTGACAATGTACAAAAGGCCGTCGAATGGGGAATAAAGTCTTCTGGGTGGAAACTCACCAAGTGAAGGACTGGATCAACTGGATGGTTCAGTTTCTATAGAGCGAACTGCATGCATTATGGACTATTCGAGTGGAAGCGAGCATATATAATTTGGCAGACCTGCGTTATAATAGGTCTATATCTGAGATACCACAGACTTCCTGTATTGGATTTGCTTTCGGAAGATGTAGCGTTATCCAGAACCGATTCAAATACATTTCTTTCGCCTTTGTTTATAGCTTCAAACATGCCGAAGATAACCGTACAAGTTGATCCCTATCGCATCGCGGCCCTAGCACGTGACTCAAATGGAGCCCCTCATAGGGCTTAGGGCTAGGATGGGCTGGCGGGGTGAGTCGGAGCATCTCATTGACTCATGAGCTTGAGATAGTCATAACAACGCCCACCTCCCCCGATTCAGTCTGCAAACTCCGTGAAACACCAGCGACCATGGCGGACTCCGAATTGCCCGTTCGCCCCAAGCCTGAGGAAACCCCCGCGGCCGCCCCCGCCGAAGGAGCTGAAAAGGGTCCCAGCAAGAGTGCCTTGAAGAAGGCCGCAAAGGAAAAGGCCAAAGCCGAGAAGGCTGCGGCTCGTGCAGCCCAGGAAAAGGCTCAAGCTGCTGCTGCTGAGGCCAACGATACCGCCAAGGGTCTGTACGGCCAGCTCCCTGAATCCGAAGATGTGGTTCCTTCTACGAAGTTCTCCGAGCTCGGCGACGGCTACTATGAGAAGGAGGTTACCGTGGTGGCTCGTGTGGACAATGCCCGTGTTCAGAGTGCTAAACTTGCTTTCCTGATGCTGAGGCAGCAGGGAAAGAAGGTACAGGCTGTCATTGCGGCTGCGGAGCCCATCTCGAGACAGATGGTCAAGTATACGGGCGGTCTGAACGTCAACTCCATCGTCCAGGTTACCGGTATCGTCAAGAAGCCTGCCATCCCCATCTCTTCTGCTACTCTTAGCAACCTCGAAATTCACATTCAAAAAGTCTACATGATCTCAGAGGCCGCCCAGATGCTTCCTATGCAGGTTAAGGATGCGGAGAGACCGCCTCCGGAGACGACTGAGGAGGGCAACCTGGTCGACGCAGAGGGCGCTCCTATTGTGACTCTCAAGACTCGTCTGGACAACCGCGTTCTTGATCTACAAACAGAGACTAGCCAGGCCATTACTTGGATTTCGAGTGGTGTTGCGGAGCTGTTCGCAGAGTACATGATCAAGAGCGGATCAAGGTGGATTTTCACTCCCAAGTTGGTCGGCGCTGCCACAGAGGGTGGCAGCAATGTGTTTGAGGTCAAGTACTTCAAGCGCAACGCCTACTTGGCGCAGAGCCCCCAGCTGTACAAGCAGATGTGCATTGCGGGTGACATGGAGAGTGTCTTCGAAATTGCTCCTGTCTTCCGTGCTGAAGAGAGCAACACGCACAGACATCTGACCGAGGTATGCTAATAAATCTGTTTTGTTTGAGAAAGAATCGATCCTAATCAATTCTCAGTTCGCCGGTCTCGATTTCGAGAAGACATTCCGCAGCCATTACCACGAGGTCTTGGAATTTGCCGAAAACCTTCTCGTCTTCATTCTCTCCCAACTCAAGGAGCGTTACAAGGATCAGATTGCCATTATCCAGAAGACATACCCCAAGGCTGGCGACTTCAAGCTTCCCAAAGATGGCAAGGCGCTGAGACTGAACTACATGGATGGTGTGGCTCTGCTCAAGGAAGCCGGTGTCGATATTTCTGAGCAGGAGCGATTCGAGAACGATTTGACCACCGCGATGGAGAAGCAGCTGGGTCAGATCATCCGCGACAAGTACGAGACTGATTTCTACGTGCTGGACAAGTTCCCTATGGCCGTCCGGCCTTTCTACACCAAGGCCTGCCCCCAGGACCCCAGGTTCTCCAACTCTTATGATTTCTTCATGCGTGGCGAGGAGATCATGTCTGGAGCGCAGCGTATCAATGACATCAAGGAACTCGAGGAGTCGATGATTGCGAAGGGCCTCGATCCCAAGCAGGAGGGCTTCGAAGATTACCTGGCTGCTTTCCGCCAGGGCTGTCCTCCTCACGCGGGTGGTGGCCTGGGCCTGAACCGTATCGTCATGTTCTTCCTGGGCCTGCCTAATGTTCGTTTGGCAAGTCTATTCCCTCGTGATCCCCAGCGCCTGCGCCCTTAAGCATTTAGTTTAGCTAGCGACGACATTACATACCCGTGTGAACAAAAGTATAATGGGAACCATGAGACTGGATAAGCCGCATAATCGTATTCAGAGACTATTTCTGATCAGACTGTCTGCGTAGTGTTCTTTCCATCCAGGCCATTGTGGTTGCCAAGGGGCCTAAGGCATCCGTTGAGCTGCCCTTTTTAAGAGGTGGCCCAAGCTCCCGAGGCTGGAACTTTTTGGGTCGGAGGATCATGAATCCTGTAGCATCAGACAACACCGCTCTGAAACGCAAATCCACATCCAAATCATGCCGGAGAAGCGGAAACCACCCACGTCTGCCTCTGGTTTATCTCCTTACTCGAAGCGTCCCCGTCCATCATATGCAGAAGAGGATGATGCCGACGAGATGATGCCCGCCGTGACGCCCTACGAACGCCCTCGCAACCACCCCGTGTATGGGCAAAAGAGCGCCTTTCCAGGCTTGGACGTCGAGGTGGAGGATGAGCTGTTCTACGGTGATGCAGAGGATGGGATGGAGTATCTTCGCATGGTCCGGTAAGCTTTTTCCCTTTCGGATTCTCGTCAATTTTTATTCCTGTTCCCCGCTTGCTAAATGTCTACATGTCATTTGCCCCATGTATAGTTCTCACTCGCGACGAGCATTTGATGGTTTCGAGAGCTAATCGCCGGCCAATGACTCTTTCATGAGAGTACAGATCCGAAGCTAACTCTTTACCTTTCCTGTTTACCGCACCCAAACCTGCCGAGACGCCGACAGAGACGAGCAAAGATGCGATCATAGAAGAGCAAGAGCCCGAACCAGCATCTGCGCCATTGCGCGACGGCATCTTCGCAGACGGCGTCTACATGGCCGCTCCTGCCGAACCGGAAATTGCGCAAGCAGCCACGGGACCACAGGAAGACGAATACTCCGACGCGCAGTCGAGCTACTACAATCTCCTCCACCATCGCTTTCTCCTTCTCCGATCCATTCTAAAATGCACACCACCATCGAGCGCGATTGCTGCACTGGACGATTCGCATCCGATCAGTTTCCCCCGACATTCGAAGACTGCTCGCAAAGAGTGGAGACGGCTTCTGTTGGCGGTGGACCCGCGGACGGTTCAGCTGGCCTGTATGGATATGGACAGCGTACGGGGTGTGCTGGGCATAATGGCCAGGCTGATGTCCGAGAATGTCAGAAGCGGGGATGCGGAACGAGTCAGACGGATTGGAGCCTGGGCTTGGGGACTGTTGGGCAAGTGCCGCGATGTCGGACAGCTGGGGACCGAAGAAGTGGGCGATATTCGAGATTTGGGCAAACGGGCCGTGAAGATATTACATAAGATGAGGGAGGAAGATGAGAAAACCAAAGCTGCCCAGCGAGACGGTGATCTGTCCAACGAGGAATCGGATGATGACGAGATTCCGGAAGACGACCACGCACAGCCCAAGGATGCTCAAGAGAATGATCTCGCCGCTGAGCAGACTGATCATGAAATGCAAGATGCGGAAAGGGAGCCGCCTGCAGAAGACCTCGACGCAGCCAAAGCGCGTCTTCAAGCGATGCTTCAGGGCAATGAAAATGAGACGCTTGAACCCGACAAATCAGACAATGTCGACGTCGCCAATAACGCTGCAGAGAGCCCAAAAGACAGTGCTATTGAAGTGGCGATGCAGACCCGTGCAATGCTCGACATGATTATCACCGTTGTTGGCGAGTACTTTGGGCAAAGGGATCTTCTCAAGGAGCGGGAGTTGTGGATTGATTCCTCATTGCCTGCCACATAGCGTGATCTCGACGTAATGTCGTATTTGAAAAGCTTCTAGTCAGTCTTTTACACTGGCAAATCCGAGATACCCAATTTGACATTCGTCGATAGTTCAGTTAGTGTCTACCGACCATGCAACAGTCTTCTGTTACCTACTGCAAAGCGTAGAATATTGTATTTTCTGAACTTAGTAAATAAAATGCATCCATCTGCTTCAGGAGCCGTACATACAACGAAGATGAATATCCTGACATCTATCTGCTGGTCCTGATTTTGCATGTGGTCTAGTATAATGAACAGTGGACGAATGACTCTTTGCGTCATTGTTTAGGCTGCGCGCCCCAACCGACTCTTATCTCCGTCCGTCATTCATCCTTCCAACACCCATGCCTCTCCTCATCACCTCAATTCCAGCGATTACCGAAGAGGGTTATTTTGTTCTCTCATGTCGATGAAGACAATACATAGATGAAGCAGGTGCATAACTATTAACCTGCATCTCCGGTAAAGCCGCCGCCATGGCTCCCAAAGTCGAAATCTCCATCCCAACCGCTACCACCTCACACACCTCACCCCCTACACAATCTACAACATCACCCTCCGCCTCCCCTGCGCTCCTTCACCATCTCCAAGCGCTACTCCGACTTCGTCGCCTTCCACACCTCCCTCCTGAACCAAACCAACGCCCCACCACCAGCCCCCCTCCCTGGCAAACACTGGTTCTCCAACACGGTCTCAAACCCAACCCTCCGGGAAGAACGCCGGCAGGGCCTCGAATCCTACCTCCGCGCCATCAACGAAGCAGACGACCCCCGATGGCGCACCTGCAGCGCCTGGCGCGCGTTCCTGAACCTCCCCAGTTCCGCCGTCGGCAACGGCAACGGCAGCGCCACGACATCCGCCAAGCTGCATGCGGCCATCACGGAGCCCGGCGCGGCAGGCACCCAGAGCGCGATCACGGACCCGACGCTGTGGCTTGACTGCTACCGCGACATGAAAGCGCATCTGCATGATGCGCGGCTGCATCTCACAAGACGGGACCAGGAGACGACGCCGCAGAAGCAGCATGAGAGTTCTGCGCGAGCGAAGAGCAGTCTTGTGCGCGCTGGAAGTCTGATCGGGGCGTTGGAGGACGGGCTGAAGAATCTTGGGGATGCGAATGCGGATGCGAGGTCTTGCGCGTCTGGGAAGAGGGGTGCTTGGGGAGGAGGGAATGCGCTGGGCGATGGGGAGATTCGACGGAGGAAGGACTTGCTGGTTAATGCGAGGAAGGAGAAAAATGGGCTGGAGGATTTGTTGAACGCGATGGCTGCTAAGAGTCGGATTGATAATGCGGTTGCGTCGATACAAGACAAGGAGGCGTTGGTTGGGTCTGCGAGCCGGAAGCCTGCTCGTTCGGGGAGGGTGCTGGGCAAGGAGACGGAGCGGACTCGCGAGCTGGACAATCAGGGTGTTTTACAGTTGCAGAAGCAGACGATGGAGGATCAAGATATGAGTATTGAGGAGTTGCGGAAGATTGTACAACGCCAGAAAGAACTGGGGATTGCTATCAATGCTGAGCTGGAGATTCAGAATGAGCTTCTGAAGCTCACGGATGAAGATACTGACAGGTACGTCTCAACCATGGTTTCAGTTTTAATAACCCATTCTGACGTCTGTCGCTTAAAGGTTAGAAAAGAAGATCGAAATCGGGAAGAAGAGGGTTGGCAAAATATCCTAATTTGGCGTCTCACGGGCACTTCCACTTCTACGCAGTTCTATCCATTATTTCTGAACCATTTAGAGGAGCGACTTGCAAGTTATTTTCGGCAGTTGAGCGGTTATCACTTTGTACTATCTTTAATCTACTCTGGCGGCATCACCGTCTGAAGGCTCGTCAAATTGGTATCTATTGTCATTCTTTCCCGTCATTGCTAGCTAATAAATCCTGCATCAAGATTTGTCGGATTGGGCCGACAAGAACTGGTAGTTAAAAGAACGTCAGTATATGATTCCCGAAGTCAATGACATCGAAGACTCACCTCCTTCGCCTGTTCCTCAGTCACGTCTGATTGATCAGATTCACGCTGGCTAATTAGCCCCAGCTTACTGCGTCGAAGTAGCCACCAAAGTTCTCGCCGATCCCCACCGAGTTCCTCCTTTAACAACTTGTCTTTCAGCTGCCTTAGGAAGTCATTGTACAACGCGGGCTCCTCGAAAGAAATTAGCTCCTCTCGCATTACTCCCATCTCCTCAACGACCCTGTCATAGTTCGCATCACCAAGACTATTCTTGATCTGATCCTCAATGATTGACGTCATCTGCTTCACGGCATCTTTGATCGTCTCGATGGTTTCTGCCTGTGTCAGAGCCTGTTTGAACTCGGGGATCGCATTTGTTGGAGAGATTCTGGCGCGTTTTTCTTGGTGAAGTAAAGCATCAACGTCGAGACCAGAAAGCGGTTTCTCGCTCTCACGAACACGCTTGCGTCCCTTAACTTTGGGCGGTACTAGAAACTGGTCAGCAAGTGGTGACCCCTGCCGAAGGAGACTGCTTGGAGCGAACCTTTTTTGACATCGGCAGCCTCCATAAGCTTTTGTAGATACGCTTTTGATTTCTCTACCAGGTCTTGTGGCGGCTGAGAAAGCTTCGTTAGATTCTTCGAGGGCGGAGGCACTGGATCATCTGGGTGTATAGCACGGTAACGGATCGCAGAATCAATGCGATGTAATACCGGCGAAAATGAGTCCTCGATGGGAAGGCCCTCTACCGGATTCCTGGAGGCACGTTAACAAGAGAGTGCAGAATGGTACTAATCGACGGACTTACCCATCCTCATCGGTATCAACAAGTTCCATGCTATCCACATATTCACTCATTGCATCAAGCAAATCCTTGTTCGGCAGACTTCGATGCTCGGTTACTACTTTGCCAGAGACAGTGATTACCTTGTCCAGAGGAGGGAAACGATACGTTCGGACGTCTTCGGCGAATGGTAGCTGAACCTCGAGGAGGCACTCATAGTCAGGTTCAATTGAAGGAGCAAGCAACACCATGACGGGAGGCTTGTTCTCTTTGACCACCAATCGAGCTACAGCATAGCACTCTAGTTCAAAGAGAGCATGAATGAAGGATGAGAGCGCCAGTGAGGCTTTATCATTGCCACGTTGCCCGATGATAATGTTGGTTGTCGACATGTGCATATAGCGATCATACTAGAACAGACCATAAGTTCCTACTTCCCAGGTGAAAATCAGAGGAGTTAAACTTACTTTGTCAGTTTGTATGAACCCAACCAGTTCCAATGCTGCGTATGTTTCGAGTGTTGTGATGTTCTCGTCTGTCTCGCTGATATGTACTGCCGTCCGTCCGTATTCGTACCCCTTGGCTAGTTCCTCCCGCTCCACGTCTATTTTACCCCCAGGAGCATTCTCATCAGGGACCTCGTATGTTCTCAGGTTCCTGACACTTGTGAGAGCGCCCCCCTCGGGAGGGGACTTCGGTGCTTCAGACGATTCGCCTTGCTCTTCTTCAGCTCCCACGTCTGAGCGCAGCACAAAGCTACTTGCGCTTGGAGGCTTCGCCACATATGTCCGATAATACCGTTCGACCGGTATGCGGAGAGCAGTGTCATACTCTTCCGGATTACCTAGTTGTAGGAATCCTTTGAAAGTCGCTACCGTTCTAACCTTCTTGACCCGTGGAATGTCCATCTCTGAGATAGCTTGTTCCAGCGTTCCATATGCGCCGTCACAATCTTCAACCAGTCCGCGGAGAAGAGCCTCATTTTCGGCCTATAATTCTCAGTCAGAATGATCACTCCCGGTAGCACGACAAGGCTCTACCTTTCGCGGATCCTTTCCTTCCTCTTTGAAGCCATACTCAGGGTCGTCAAAGTCGGTGCCTCTGGAAATGGTTAGCACATTGCCTCTCATGTTCTCTGCCGGTATCGCTGACAAGACAACCAACTCGATGTTGTCTTCCTTGATTTTCTTCGTTATCTGGTCGAGATCCTCATTGCTCATCCATCCCAGGCCGTTTGTGACCAGCACAATCCTGCGTTTGTACTTCAATTTCTTGCAATATGTGACGATCATTTGGATAGCCAAAATGATGGCGGAAATCGCTTGAAAGAGTCAGAGTACTTGCCGATATCCTGAGTAACGAAAATATGAGGAAGTTGTTTACCATCTCCCTTATCAGTCTTGCTAGGCTTGATTAAAGCATCCAATCTTCGGATATCTGGCATAAGAAACCTGGTACATTAGATGAGTAAAGGTAGCCTGCGTAAAGAAGAAACATACTGCTGAATCTCAGAAAGCACCGATATGTGTTTAAAATGAGGGTCATCATCAAGTTCGTTGGAGGTCTCTGTTCTCCTGCGTTAGTACAGAACATGAGACGACACTTGATGACCTATTGGCGTCTTACCATCTGTTTTGAGGCCAATTACACCGATTGTGGCTGTTTTGCGACCTGTGGCTACCTAATTACCAACGATTAGCCGCAAGTTCATGACATCTCATGCTTAATAGGTATCCTTGCAGTTGCCGTGATGCGATCCCAAACATATTGCATGGCCCATTCAAGATCCGTCATTGATCGGCCATTGCGCTTCTCCCCCATGGATTTCCCTACATCCACGATATAGACTGTTGCTTCCTTTTCCGCCATGATCAAGATGCTCTAGAAGAGAAATTGAGTCAGGAGATGGAGGAAGAATGAGCCAGATAAAGGTTGCTCATTGATGCATAGACAAACACGACGCTCCAGGCAGACGCGCGATATTTCCCAATTGGGTGTTAGGCGGAACGCGAAGGCACATGACATCATGATTGGAAAGGTGCGTCGGCATTTGCACATGGTAAGTGTACATACTCAAGCACCAATGAAAGCCGTTGCAACAATTACCTTTCCCCGGAAGGAGTGCGTCGAAATATGTTCCGACATTCCCCAGCTCGCCACCTTCGGACAACCATCGACCCCGGTCTATCTTCTCTGCATCAGAAGACCCCAGCTCGTCCCTTGACGGATTATAAAGTGTATCATTAGTTGCATTAATTGTTGGACAGGCAATATGACTGATCCTCGTCCCTACCATCTGCTCAGGTACATATCCCTGGTTATCAGGATGTAAACATTTCGCTGACTTCTGTCGCAAGCTACGGTACCCTATTGGGCGTGCAAGTGTTCCAGGTGAACCTCATTCTGCCAGCTAGATATCCACTACCGCTGTTAACACAAAGGCGCAACAGACATTTATTGGGGGCGTTATTGCTTTCCGAGTGCTTCCTCGCCCTCAGTTCTCAACGTTGCAGACTTCGATATTCCCCGTGTACTTCACGCTTCAGTCCGCACTCCCCGTAGTTATCGCCTTGACTTCCAGCAAAGGTGGCCAGCTCAATGGCATTTCCGGACTTCTCGCTCCTGAGAATCGATTCGGAACACTCCTGCCTCTCGCAACTGTTGCAGTGTCTGGGCTGATCAATCAGGTCATCCTGCGCCCACTCACTGTCCGGACGATGAACGAGCGGAAGCATCAGGGTATGGCTTGCGCCCTGTTATCTCATCTCGCTTACTGGCTGCTAACTTTCTGTAGAAACTCGTGACGGCAAGAAGAGCTACGACCCTGCACCCCACTCAAAGGAGATGATGGCTTTGAACAAGAAATTCGGCAGACTTCATGGTCTGTCGAGTCTGATCAACATGGTCAGCCTTGCTGCTACGATCTATTATGGTGCAGTGCTTAGCAAGCGCTTGGCTTGAAGAGCCCTCTGATTGGAACGTTTCAATTGATTGCTAACCCCAGGGCTGCTTGCTGGTTTACCACTCTTCCTTTATGTCCTTAACACTCTCTGTATATCGTTCCAACCATATGACCATATATCAACCCGCCTGCAAATATAAAGAAATCTTGTTAGATACATTGTTTCTGTTGAAGTGGATTGCACATTTACCTCCATTCTGCTTTGAGATCTCTCGTGGCGTTGAGACATATTATCCACCAGCGTTTGGCTCATAAGGTCTCTGGCTCCTGGCATAAATCTTGTGTCACTAACCTGAAACCAAGCAGCAGATTCAGAATCAATGAATTTCTGTGTTCTATTTTTGTATCCCTCTCAAGCACATCTGCGTACCATGCTTTGAGTCAACTGAGACATGTACGCGGAATGACTGCTTCAAATCGAATGCCATTCAACTCTTTGTCGCAGAAGCGACCATATCCCATTGATAATCGTTGGGCATCTGGATATTTATCTCCCCCTCCCTCACTCCGTCTTGACAGGGCCAGAAACAGGAAGACCTGTTCTCCCCTTGCCGATATTTATCCATGCGCAACTTTTTTCTCTCCTTAACCTCGTTCTCAGATTGACTGTCATCAACCAGCCTTTGCAAAATGTCTATTCTGTCCGTTGCAATTGTCGTGGTCACCGTCATCAGCCATATCTTCATATCAGCGGTCCGATTGATCTCAGAACACCTGGCTTGCGCCAAAATCTATATTTCGAGAGCTTTCGGGAAAATGTTTGCTTTCAACGTTGACGGTATTGTGAAAAAGCTTGATCAGCATCAGTGGCGGACACTACACACATCATACATAAAGCCATATTCCGCTTCCACGCCAGTCCCTGAGTCCGATATCGCGTGTCTAGGGACCGATAATCTCCACCGCAAGAACCACTCATTGTTTGACCCAGGCTTGAGTGAGCTGGGCTCACTGTGGCATGGTCAAACCAGTCAGGATGCTGTCTCCACGTCAGGCCATCTTGCCAACGGGCCGGCTTTCGGGAGACTTTATCGTGAAGCTCTACTCATCAACCGGCAAGTTTTGCTTTTCGTTATGGTGGTTCTGTTGATGATACCAGCAGTAACATCCATGTTCACTTGGTATTCTCGCAGGCACTGTCTCCAGGTAGCGAACATTGAGATTCTAGGTTTCAT